TTATTTCCTTAATTGAAAGAAACCAAATCAAACAGGAACCAATTTCCCAGTGAGAATCTGTTTTTCTAGAAAACAGCCCTGACCTCGATGAAGGCCTCTGGGGCTGGGAGAAGCTTTCTGATGTCTACAGTGCATAGAGTGGGAAGAAGCTTCCCAGCAGTTTTAGCAGCTACTGAAACCCTGCCTGTAAAGGTCTTTTCCAACGTAAATAATTTCATATGGCTCTAGGCCAGGCTGAGATTTTCTCATGCCTCGGAGTCCCTGCCTGGTGTTTCCCCACCACAGGGGAAGGCAAGATCACAGTCCACATCTCAGTTTCTCTTTTTCTGAGACAGAGGAGTAGGTGACGTCTTTGCAGGCATTAAGATATATCTGTTTGGTTTATCTGAAGTTTTTTGTTTCATCATAGCAGTTGTTATAGTAGAGATTCTTCTCCTAGGCGTAGCATTCATGTCAGCCAAGAAGGCCAATGTCTTGTACTTGCTAAGAAAAAAATTAGAGCCAGAAAAATTATGAGATCCAAGGAGACAAGTGGGAAGAAGTTAAAATGCTAAATTGAATAATGAAACTGCATAAAAAAGCTTCCTCTCTCTAAAGCCATTTTCTTCCTGTATATGCTCCTTCAGTCATGCACAGACTGATCACTGCTAGCTTAGATGAACAGTATGTAGAGTATGCTTCCAGAGACAGGCTCCAAAGAGAATGAAGCCATGAAGTGAGGGGAAATCTAAGCAGTCACACTGATTTTCAAGGCAGTTTTACTAAACTGTAGTTCCTGTGAGAGCTCCAGAATCAGACACAATTGGAGCAACCAACCTTTCTGCTGCACCAACTTGTGCAGCAGAAGTGTATTTTTAAAGGGATTGCAGTATGTGGAGTATGCTTCCAGAGACAGGCTCCAAAAGGAATGAAGCCATGAAGTGAGGGGAAATTTAAGTAGTCACACTGATTTTCAAGGCAGTTTTCCTAAACTGTAGATGCTGTGAGAGCAGCAGAATCAGACACAAGTGGAGCAACCAACCTTTTAGGAGCCACTTGTGCAGCAGAAGTGTATTTTTAAAGGGATTTTAGAGGTCCCATGTGCAATTCCACTGTAAGATATAAAGTGCTGGACACATCAAGAAATCCTTGCTTAGTAAGGGTGAAATTCTAAGGCTACTGGGCTGTACAACACCCAGTCTCTGAAGAGAATACAAAGGTCCTCTTTGAGTGATGGAGAAAGCAATGGATAACCTTGAGTCATGAGGAGAAAAATCTGGAGAAAGCAGAAACTTGCAAGTGGGGAAAAAACATGTTAAGGTGCCCTGCCACCAACACCTGCTGCATCAAACTGGCACCTGCATGGCCTCACCTCTGTGAAAGCACCCAGACTTAGCTCATCTTCATGGACTGCTCTATTCTGCCATGTTTCAAAACATTTTATCATTAGTGTAGCCTACTTCACACACAGTATAGAAACACATGGCATAGAAATCCTGCCAGTTCTCATGGATAAGGGCCAGCTTGTTCTTACTTATGCAACCAGGTGGGAACCAATATCCTTTGCTGTCAAATTACTATTGCTGTGTTTCCATCAAGCAGCCTGCAGGTGGATTTTCAACGCTTCCAGCATGAAAAGTCAGCTGCGGTGGTGAAGAGCTCTAGCACAGCTGGGGCTGGCTGGTGAAGAGCTCTAACACAGCCATGGAGTGAATGCCTTGTGCTGTCTGTGTGTCCTGCATGCTCAGCCTCCCTCTGCATGCTGTGCTGAGTGGGAAATCCAGCACACAGGGTCATCGCACAGTGGGACAAGCAAGGAAGGGTGAGTGGACTTCTGATGTGAGGGCCCTCAATGTGTCCCTTTCCTGGTATGAAAGGCCACAAAAGAAGACACTGGAAGAGGACATTAGGAAAAAATATTAAAATACAAGAGAATGGTGACCTCTATGATCAATTCCTGCTGCCTTCTGCCTGCTTTTAGAGATGGCTGGTTGTGGGAAGCATTTTCAATATGCGTGACACACATTATGTCTGGCCTGTTGCTGTCAGGGCTTTTTTCTTTTAGATGTCTTTGCTCTTGCTAAATATCATCGCAAGCTGGAAAGCTTGGCTCAACCCAGGCCAGCTCTGCTGACTGTATTATTGCATGAAACAAGCAGGACTTGCAGTCCTGAAGGTCTCTCTGATGTGTTCTCCCCTCTCACCAGCTCCACTGGTGTTTGTTAATAAGCTTAAATGGTTTCAAATTAATTAAAACTCTTCTGAAAGTAATGAGAGCTCTATTGCCTACAGAAGCTAATGTGAGTCCTGAGGACACCCTGTGGTCCACCTGCTAGGGCAGAGCAGAGCACTACCCTCTTGGACTGGATTGAATCTGAAATGTTCATCAGGATTTCATGCCTTTCTGTTACAAGTAATCTTGCTATTACTATGCTATGGTTTACCCTTTCACAAAGGGATTAGAATGCCCCTATTTTCCTTGATCTCTACATTAGCATATGTCATCTTTATCTAAGAGAAAGAGAAAAAAATACTCCAAGCCACCTTATCTCTGGAAAATGAAACTATGAATAGCATCTCTTCATTTGCGGTCTTTGCATCTCTTCTATCTTGATCAGTGCACGCAGCAAATGCAAAACAAACTGCTTTGTTACCTGGGTGTTTTTCCTCTACAGGGAATTGGGTTTTTTCCACATTAGAAAACCCAAAATGTGTAGAGATTCTTAGAAACTCTACACTGGAATGCAAATCCTCTCACGAGAACTCATAAACTCTGGAGGTTTATGCAAACCAGATTAAAATACCAATCTGGAAATTTGATGTTTTGTGCAGCATTTTTGGCCATTCAACCTAGCACCAAAGTAAAGGCATTATAAGAAAATATATATCCCAAAGTATTTACACATAAACCAAAAATGTGCCAGATATCAGGACATTAGAGTCTCCAAAGGAACCAGAACAAACTGCCTGTAAGATGCCACAGAAATACATTGGAGAGTTTTATATATTCACCTTTTCCAAATAATCTGTTCAGGGTTGGAATCTTAATATCCCATCACTTAAAAGTCGATGGGTTGCCCTGGTGCTGGCAGTACCCCTGGTGATGGAGCTCTGTACCCTCTCCTTACTCTGCTCCTCCACTGCACCCTGCATCCCTCAGTGTGTAGGGAAGTGGCAGGACATGGGGACACTCCATCTGCTGCTGTGTGGCTCTGCCCCAGACTGAGCACAGAGAGTTTCCCTACTCAGGTGTCCCCATGGTCATATAGGGGATGTTTCCACAAGCTACTGCTCACAGTACCTTTAAGGCTGTTGATCTTAATTTCATTTTTTTGAGCAATGGATGAAAAACTTTTATTTCCTCTCCTCCACATTTTGGTTTGTGTTGCTGAAAGAGAGATTAAGGGAGAAGAGTAGATGATCAGCTACCTAGACATGAGGACAGAAAATTACCTGGCAAATGACAACCTATTTATGAAAATATGTTGCCGCAGCTTGTCATCATAATGAATATTTTTAAAATATCAAAGCTAAATGCTTGAAGATTCTATAAAAAAGTTAGTCTTTTTGCTGGAATGGCATCAGATATTAATTTCTACAGCCTTGGATCAGCCTTTAAATGCCAGAAAATAATCTAAACTCTCTAGAGAGAAGCTGCAGCTGGTGCCACTCACTCCTGCGCCTCATCCACCTGGGCTCTAACCAATACATGGAAAGATCTTTCAGTGCCAGTTTGACTTCTGGTGATCTCTCTTTCACTGTAAATTGAAAGCAGCTTCTCTGACAACTCATTTAGCCTGGAGCAAGAACAGTGTGAGACAGATCTCACTAAGCAATCAAACAGACAAGCTAAGATGTAGAGATAGTGCTGGCACAGCTGGCAGAGTGACTGTGGGCAAGGAGGAACCACGGGCATGGGAACAGATCAGAAGCAGCTCTGGAAGCTCTGCCATTCTCATTTGCACAGAGGAACAAAAATACAGACCTTGCCTTTTGGGCTGTAGGCCTGAGAACAAGTTCTGCTCACTGCCCAATGTCCATAATTACACCTTGTGTATGGAAAGGTGGCTCTGCCCACCTTCTACACTGGATCACCTAAGAACAAATTGCAGTGAAAAGGCAGGAAGCATCCAGACCAGGCCAGAGGGCAGGCAGGAGGGCAGGGGCAGGAGCAGCAGGCAGGTCCTCCTCTGCTCCCCTTGATGGTAGTGGAGCCACACTCAGCCAGGTGAACCCATTGCTGGTTGGCAACTGCCAGAGAAAACCAGCTAATTGTAGCTCAGTGTTTTCTCTTTCCAGGACAGTTTCCAGAGGGATCACACTTATCCTTCAGCCAGACTGACCTGAAGAAGTCTCAAGCTTTTGGAGGAGAACTTTAAGGCATAATGAGACTTATGGCAAACAGAAGGGATGCTTGGAAGTCAACCCTGGGGATTTAAAAGAAATCTGAAGGGCTACCATTTGCTCTGCCAAGGTGTGCAACTTGCAAAAAGGAAACTTCCGTGGCCAGGGAGGGCTCTCACCAACACTCAGCTGTATTTGGAGAGGCCACCAAATTTCTAAGAGAATTTCCAAGATAATAGCATCTGTGTTTCCTAGGACTACTTTTGCATCCAGTCCTTCCAGCTCAGAAGGCAATGGTGGGATGCAAGGCTGTTTGCACCCTGAGGGCCCCACGCTCAGCCGCACACCGCTGCACCTGCGCTCAGCAGAGGTGAGATCATGGCCAAGGACTCTGCGATGGCTCTCTGCATGCAGCAGCTGTAACTCAGTGTGACAGCTTGTCCAGGCAGTGCTCCACGACTTCATCCGTCTGTCTGTCTGCTCCACAGACCCCTGCAGAGTCACCAGCTTTCTCTGAGCAAGGTCCTGCTCTGAATCTGGGGGAAGCCACCCTGCAGCACATCAGTTTGCTTTCTCAGGAGATTTGGCAATGCTGAAACGTTATAATCTCTTTGCTTTCATGTAACTATAATTTACATAAGTGCAGGAGGCAAACCCGGCATGTGAAAAAAAAAAAAAAAGCTTTCATAGATTTTTTAACCATTGTTTCCTGCTGGGGTGCGATATCATAATGTTCAAATTAATCACTCCTGAGGAGCATTTGTGAATTTCCGTAGTACTAAAGTCACTGAAGTAGGTGACTCAATTCCATGTTTGATTTCTTTAAAATGCTGTCCAAGCTATGGGAAAAAATAGTGGGCACCTGGTATCGGTTTTATAATTGGGTTTTTCCATACTAGAATGGGAATTTTGCGAAGACTCAATTAAAAGGAGTGTCCTCCGGTTCTTCTGTCACCCATCAGACTGAGCTGACATGAATGCCAGCATGCTGTCATACATACTCTTCTCTTGTCTGCTGCTCTCTGTGCAAGCAGAGTATTGTGGTGTCCGGGAAATTATCCGCTATACACAGCGCCTACTTGTAAGTGGCTGTTAGCACCTTAATTCTGAAAAACGCAGGCTTGTGCAGGAGATGATAGTAAATACTGACTTCTCACTTGCTCTTCTTCCAGGATGATAGTTCTGTGAGTTGCCCATGTAGGCAGACAGCTACCAGTGTGAGTACATGGCTTTTGAGAATATAATGAGACTAAAAAAATCTGCTCTTGTACCTTGAATGCTGGATGTTAACACTCATTCTTTCTTGTTTTCAGTCATGTTCGTGTCTCCCCATTCCTGAAGTAAGTATATTTCTTTCCAAGCTCTTGTAGATGTTAAAGAAGTTGGGTATTAAGTGAGTTTAAGTTTGTTCACTTTGCTCCTTATGTAACTTTTGCTTTCAGTTATAAAGAAGATTTTAATACACCAATAGCAGCAAAACTGAGCTTGATGAATAGTTGTGGGGAGGGAAGCAGAAACCTTCCCTCTACAGAGCAATCAGAGTCAAGCCCAGATTCAGGCAAAACTCCTCTGTAGGCTTGACTTGCATATCAAGAGATACAGGCTCTTGCTTTGAAAATCTCTGCAAGGCTTTGTGTTATGGCATAAATACTAAGTGAACCTGGGCTACAGATGTCAGGCCTCTGACTTTAGCTCTAGGTGTATCCAGCACTATTTCATTGTTTTAAACCTCCTCAGATGAGGTGAAGCCCCAGCATTGGCTGAAACTATGCCTCAAAGAGGTAACTTTTACAGTTTGAGGTTTTCTGAGAGATGGGACAGTTGTTTCTTGTGGCATACATGAGATTGTACTGTTTTACTGTTTCCCCAAAGGTCTTCTATCAGTTTTCAATATATTGCAAAATACGTTGCATTTTACTGTGACATGCTGCCACATTTAGGAATACAAATTTCTTCTTTCTGTGGATAAACACAAAATGCATTCTGGGTTCTTCTAATGCCTTCTTTGTTGAACAGCGTGGCCACGAACTGGCATGCTTTGTGGATGGAACCAAACACCTGATGGAAGACAACGCACCTTCCAACCCAGTAATTACAAGGCTTTACTGGACCTTCCAGGCTCTACTGGATAGAAACCTCTGTAAAGTAAGACTTTCTTACTTTTCTACAGATCTTTATCTTTTACAAAAGAAAGTATTTTAAAAATAATTTAAACATTTGCAGATAAGTATTTCCTTAATTTCAGATGTGTTTTAAATATTCATATTGTGGAGGAGCCAGATAAAACTGCAACATGTGTGAGGCAGTGAAGTTTTTTAAGTTGGCAGAGGAAGAAGGGGGATGGGGTCTGGTCCACTGTGCCTTTTCTCTTCTCCAAACCCTTTGAACACAGATCTCTGGGAGAGGAGCTTTATTTAAACTGCTTTCTTATTCTCCTTTCTCAAAATGTGTTTTGGCATTAAATAATAATAACCCAACAGTGGGGAGTGGATGTGCAGGAGTTGCATGGCTGGAGCCAGGTGGGCAGAGCATCCTTCTCCTCTGCAGCTGTAATTCCACCTAAGCAGCAGAGTCTTCACTGATTCTTGGCTGTGAAATACAGCTGTGACCTGCAGCATCTTGCAGCTCGTGCTGATGCTCGGGAAGGCTCTTGGATGCCTCAGGTGCTTTTTCCGAGGCAGTGAAACATCCTTTATTTACAGACTGAGCAAAGCTCCCGTGTGATTCAATGAGACTCAGAAGATGCTGACACTGCAGTGTCTCCAGCTCTTAAAGCTGCCTTCAGACTTGCAAGGAGGAATAGTTAGGGTGGCCTTGAGACACTGACCCCTTGTCCCAATCTCACCCAGCTCCACGTGGTATCCACACTGTTTTCTAAACAGCCTAGTTTAAATGACCTCAGCTATAATGAATATATGAACTGAATATACAGAATTACATGACAATCCACCTGCCACCTTCTTAGCCACCATGAAAAGCCACTCTTACACTCACTGCTCAAGGAACAACTCTCTGGGAAATGATTTTGAAATCCTTGTGTAGTTCCACATAATGTATATTTTCACTGGTTCATCTAAATTATTTATTTAATTTTTAAATCTTTGCTAACCCAATCTTTGTTCTTTCTTTCACAGAAACTGGCAAATGGTGATCAATGTCAGTATGAGACCAAGGGAAATGTGAAGGAATTTCTGGAAAAAATCCTGACAACCTATCAAGAAATCGATAAATTCAATGCTTAATGTTTTGGTTTTTTGGTTTTTTTAAAAGATTTTTAAAAAATCCAAAGTCTTTGAAAAGAACAGGGAACAGAAGAGTTATTTATTGTATTTATTTTCCACCAGAAATATAGAAGGTAGAAAAAAATCATTAATAGACCAATAAAATTAAAATTTATTTGGCCACAAAATGCATTTGAGTCTTCATTTTAAGTTCTGTACTTGGTGAAAGGTTGGAACATCCTGTTATCATATCTGTAGGTGTCAAAATGCTTTTGCAAAGCTCCAGCCCAACAATTTCCCCAATATGAGATGCTCCAGCAAAATTCACACTCTGCCCACTGTATAGGACAAGAAATATTTCAGGACTTGAGATGGAAACAAAAATTCTGTGTTTTCTTTCTGCATCACTTATTTTTTAATAATACCTACACACATGAACAAGTCACTTAATTTCTTCCTTGCAAAGCTGCAAGTTTTTCTGCCTATAGCCACATTTTTTTTTCTTCTAAATAGTCAGTAGTAGACAACTCATGAACATCTTAACTTACAAAGACAAGACCAAACCCAGTGTTAATTACCAGCTCTTAATGGGGTTGTGCATTTGGAATGTGTTGTGGACAACTGTTTCTTTCTCAGTATTTAATGCTGGCTTTTTTTCTATAGAGCCATGAGCTCAGCAATGCTTCTCTATCACTTCTCTACTCAGCTCAACAGAAGAATCAAAAATGGAGCTTTGTTGGAAAAAGAAACCAGCCATTGTGTAAGAGAAGCTGCTTATCTCAGCCAATTATTGCAGTCTTACCAACATCTTAGATCACTGCACTGTAGGAGTGTGCCCCCTAATGACAGAGGGGCAAAGCTAGCCTTTGTCCCCCAAAAAAGGAAAGAAGCCCAGAAGTTTCTCTCAAAGATTAGATGAAAAGCCACCTCATAGGACCTCAGAGACTTCACCAAAAAATCGGGGTCATCTAATTGGACAGAAGCCAAAAAGTCCCGCCTGGCCCATCAGGTAGAAAAGAAGAGAACAAAAGAACTAAGGGGCTTTTGTGAGGTGTTTATACCAGGGCAGACCTCTGTACCTGGCTCGAGTTTTTCTGTTTGTTATTTTGCCTTTTATTAAACCTTTTGCTTCTAACACTGCAGCAGAAGCTTATTATTTGCCTCCAAAAGGTAATAGCTAAGCTGTCCTTAGGTGTGTTAGGTTTCCTTTTGAGGGTTTATAAGACCTGGCCCGAGAAAAAGAAAACTAACACTGCACAGTAGGGAAAATCCTAAATTTCCATCTCTGTTGTGGCTCAGAGAGAAGCAAAAGCATTGTAACAGGGCCTTTGAGATGGAATATCTTAAATATCTCCAAGGACTCATATCCTCACCACCTCCAATGCAGTGGGGTGGATTTTTCAGAACCTCCAGAAAGAGACAAAAAGCATATAATTTCCTTTCTTTATTTCATTGATGGGATGGACATGTTTCTGGGATCAAAAGCTGTTCTGAAGCCTCCCATTTGTATGGGCTTCAGGCAAAGACAGAACTGGGTTATAGAAAATGCATCTGATACAACTATATAAAAGGAGGTAAACTTATGTAACATATCAGAAGCATTTTCTGATCTGTTTCTGCCAGCTGTTTCAAAAATTATAAAGAAATAACAAACGTTAAGATATAAAAGACTATTCTCTGTTAACACCTACAAAGATGAAAAAAAGAAATAAAACAACTATTTCATCTCACTCACATTTTCATATCTTCCTACATTTCTTATACCATTCAGTTCAAAGAGCTCTCCCCTAAATAACCAATTGGTTTTTTTTGCATTCTAGTGCAAAGAAAAATCTTCCATGATTGAATCAGCACAACGATTCAATCCCAAAATATCCATCTCACAAATCAGCACAATTCTTGTGTCTGCTCCTGGCCCTAAGCAGAAGAAAAAGGTTCATTAACATCCATATTGAATCTATGATGCTAGATCCCAAAATTCTAAGAATCATCTCCACCAAACTGATATTCAGTCTTGTTAATATTTCCCAAGTGCAAATCCAAGAGCTATTCCAGTCTTCCTGTTTTGCTGATGTTTTGCTTTGTGTGTACAACTCACCTGCACTGTGTCTAGACATATTATGTGGCAAGAGAAAAATCTGAAAGAAGTTGATTCATTTTTATAGATGAGCAAAACACTTCCCAAGTCATAGGACTGCAAGGAAAAATACAATTCTTTGTCTAATACTTTTTATTCCCAAATTTACTTTATTAAATTTATAAAATACAGGAATGGTGAAATTGTGACACAAGCAAAGATACATAATAAATTCAGCTTTGTCCAGCATAAGTTGGCAAGAGTGGAATATAGTCAGTCAATTTCCAGTCAAGAGACAATAATAGAAAACTCTTGCCCAGAATTTGAAAAAAAACCCCCAACTTTTAAACTGCAGAAAATACATCTGCAAAATATCTATTATCTGATGCCTCAGTTTGCATTTGCGTGACAGAAGTGATCACTGTGTGCTTAAACCATTGAGTGCAGGATTGTGCAACCTGAAATAAGAGCTGCACTGCTGACTGCCACGGAGCCCCTGTGAGCTGCTGCAAAGTGTTTGATTGCACTGGTGACCTCCCCAAGCTCCTGTGAGTCCAGGAATGGGGCAGTCCTTCATCCTGAAATACTTTCACTGCCTGCCTCCCCACAGGTGTATTCAGATCTTCTCCCCAGGGCTCTTACACCCTGCAAGTCTTTGCAAGCCCCAGGGCAGGCAGTGGGCAGGGCTGGACGTCTCTGGGCAAGCCAGAACATCCCTTCAGCTGACCCTGGGCTGGCTCCTGGGGGATTTGGGACCCAGCAGACACTCATGGTCCTCCTCTCGCTCTCGTGTTTGACTCTCAATAGGATTAGAAACTGACAGATGAAAACAAAAGGCAACTAATCCATTGAGTTACTTAATTACCGTAACAAGTACCTTCTTCTGTTATCTCAGTTATCTCTGTGTTGCAGCTCTCTAGCGGGATGTGTCATATCATGCTCTGATAGAGAGGATGTGGCCTAGGGCAGGGGGGACAGGGGAGGTGAAGAAGGTCAGATATTCCGTGTGCAAGATAACTTGTCTGCACAAGTCAATTATATTGTGGAATAGATTGACAATTCTTAATTGTCAATCAACAGTGACTTTGGGAAAGAGCCCTTATTCCAGCACTTCCAACCTGCCCAGGAGCCCATGGTAGGGTGCATGCTTGTTTTCAAGAGTGCACAGCTCCACACTTGCCTTGTTTCTACACCTCACATTGGATACAGGAAACTCGGAGACAAGGTGGACAATTTGCTTTATGATTTCAGAGACAGAAACACTTGGTAACTGAGGATGCAGGATAGGAGTGGCTATTTTCTGCAAACTGGGAAGTAACACCATTATCTGTGTTCAAAGCACCTCTTTCTTCAGGAATGCCTGCTCAGGAGAGTTCAGTGTTGGGCATACACAGACCAGTTCCATACCACGTACCACCACAACTGTAGTATTTTCCTCCTTAGCATGAAGTAATGCAAAATTGTATGCTGAGAGTGACCCAAAGGCACTTGAAAAGCTACTTTGCTCTTCAGCAATGAGGAATTCTCCTAATCCTGCTACAGCAGCCAGCACATAACTCTTTCTTTGAAGTCAGCCAGAAACCCACTCACAAAATCTGCAGTTGCACAGTAGAATTTTCTTAGTTCAGGCATCCACATAGATGCATGGACATTGCAAAACTTGGAGTGTTGTCTTTAGAAACCCTGCTAGAACAGCTTTATGTGCTGGAGTCTCTGCTAGGACATTTACCAGGGCAGAAGCACAGCAGCAGAGCCAAAACTCTTGTGCTGCAGTCTGTTATCCCTGATTTTATCTGACTCCATGACCTGCTGCAGGACAAGCCCAAGCCCTGAGCAGTGCCAATGGTCTAATATGAATCTGTCTCCAACAACAAATAAATGAAAACTGCTTTTGAAGATTTTTCTGGAGGCACTAGAACTGCCCCAGTGCATTTGGCATGTTGTTGTTCTTCCCTTAATCTCCTGCATCCCTGTAAGAACAAGTCTGGTATATGCCAAGCTATGGGAAGGAGAGGCAGAGGCTGCTGTTGAAATGCTCCTAGCCATTAATCACACTTGGTATATAAAAGCAGCTTTGCATACTTGTAAAAGAAAGCTGATCTTATCTGGGTTATCCTCACAACACCCTCTTGAGGCATGTGGACAAGCCTCACTGTTGTAGTTTACAGAAAAGTAAGGAAATTAATTTGTTAAGACGGGGAAGTCATTTCTCTGCATTTCACAATTTTCTGAAGACTGGTAAGGTTTGCTCATAAAGTTCCACACACACTAGGGTTTAACATTGTCAAGACTCAATATCATATAAGTTACATCATAATAATACCATCAGGTGGTGGTACTGGGAAGACTAAAGCCAAAGGAACTACAGTTCCCAGTCCCAGATAAACCTCTGCCTGATCACAGCTGCTTGCAGCTCCCTTCCCATCTCCTCTATTGGCCTCCCACTTTTGATTCAATCAATTGAAAAATCTCCAGTAGTGAACACTAAAGATTCTTCAGGACTTCTGAGGGTATCTGTCATGGAAGCAACCATGGTAATCTATAAATTGCAGCATCTTCATGGACACACTCCATAGCACAAGCTGCACATGTTCAAAGAATAAATCTTTTGTCATCTGCCATGAACTGCTGTAAATAATCTTGAATTTTTTCACCACTGTTATGAGATACAAGATAAATGCTGTCTTCTTCCTATTGGGATACAGATATAGTTCAGGTAACAAAGGAGTGAAAGAACTGAAAAGAGAAGGCAAAAAGCCTTTTTTTTTTGTGAATCACACACAAAAAATCAATGATGCTTATCATGAATGAGGAATGTGTCTAAATCGCTTCTGCTATCTTTAATCTAGTAGTGAAGAAACAAGCAATAAGTAAAATCTATATCAATCAATAAGTAAAATCAATCAATAAGTAAAATCAGTAAGTACAAAACTACCTTAAAGAT